CAAGGTCTGTGCAAGGTTTCGAGGTCAAGGTCTGTGTGTAGGTATACTGATGTGTGCACCGAGTGTTTATGTGTCCATATGACATGAAATCATGATTTGAGAAGCTGTTACCAAAAATGCAGTCAAAAAACTTCACGAAAAGTAAATTTAGCTTGCCTAAAACGCAATTATTTTAGATGACCTAGGTTGACCTTGACCCTGACCTTGACATCTGTACATCGTCGAACAACATGTTGCATGATAGATTGGAGGTAAGAATGGCAAAAAAGGCCGAAATCAAGGTGTGAAAAGCTCACAAGGCCCATAGCCAACGCAAGATGCTGAGAATTGGCCATTTGGGCCATGACATGACCTGAAAAACAAGGTCATATCTCCGAAACCAAAAACCACAGAAACTTGAAATTTTCAGTTGACATCAAGAAAGGATGGAGGAGCAGCTATACGAAAAATCAGCCTTCAAGCTCTAAAAATGTTGAGTGCAGAGCAGAAAAACTACTTGGGGGGGGGGGTTGGCAACCACCCCCCCCCCATGTGCGGGCGAGGGTTAACCCTCGCCCGTATTGGTGTTTTTCCAGCCGCGAACGTATAAGGGGGGTCCGTTGGACCCCCCCCCCCTTGCCGTTTCGCCCCTGATCGAGCTAGAGCTTCGCGGAAAAAACGAGCGTGTTGCCCGTGACGAGAGGAAGCCGATGATACCTAATTTTAAGGTCCTAGGTCATTGGTTGACCTTGCAGGTCAGGTCAATCACGAAAACGGCTATTTACACCATATTACTTTTGAAAACATTTTCTTGCGACACTTCGGTCATCTATGCCTAGTGCCTTAATAACCAAGATGTCATCCGTAAGAGAGCAAATAGTAAATGAATATATTAAAAAAGACAATTATATAACAGCTGTCCGTTATTGTCTATAACGACTTCTTCAGCGGTTAAAAAACGCTGTAGATGTTTTTTAGACGAAACCGGTCCGGTTTTGTATATAATTGTCTCTTTTAATATATTCATTTACATACTATACTTGCTCTCTACTATAGGCAGTACAGGTACACTCGTCCAATATATCTGCATGATGTCATCAATCTATGTTTTTACTTTCTTCCCGAAGCAGTCTGTGTTTAAGAGCCTCACGAGCTACCTGCGCTCAAAAAAGTTACTTAAAAAACGCCCAAGAAACGACACGAAATTGAGTGTTTTAACATTGTATGGGCATCTCTATATTATAAGATCTCTATGCTATGAATAGCCCCCCCCCCCCCCAGTAGGGCGTGTTATACGCAGACCCCAGTGGGGCGCGGGTTAAAAACCCAGTAGCTGGGATGTTCTAGGCATTTCTAAATATGATCTTATGAAAGGTGGCTATATCATCATCAAAAGGAAAAAAAGTCATAATGCCTTGTTTCTTAATTACAACGGTAAGGGAAGTGTCCGGCTAATTTCGTATTCTTCTACAGGCTATTTCACTGATAGAGCAGCCATAATAATTCTGTCACTTTTGACATACTGAGACTCTAAATGAATGCTTAGATAAAATGAATGATAAAATCGTGACCAGTGACTTCAAGCAAATGAGACTGATCATGTGTGAAAGTCAACCAAAGGCCATTCGAGGTCACATGACAACACAAAACTTGACCTTTTCAAACAATCTATATGTCATTCGACGCGTCTAGACATGTCTAATGCGTTGGTACACTGCTTTAGGTCAAGGACCTTTTTTGTTGAAGGAATCTGCAAAAATGAAAATAAAAATAAATCCGCAGCTCAGCTCGGGATCGCTGACCTGTTGCCGTTTTTGGCAAAGTTATTCACCAAAAACAGAACCGTACCTTGGAGCACCTGACATGACCTCAGAGGTGATCGGTTGAGCTAGGAACCTAAAAATGGGCATCAGCTTCGCTTCTCATAAAGGTGCACACGCTCGCTTTTTTCCGCGACGCGCTAGCTCCACCAGGGCCGAGACGGCGAGGGGTGGGCCGTACCCGCCCCCGCCCTCCCCCGCCCCTCGGCCAGCGCGTATTTTGAAAAAAAAATAGGTCCAGCGAGGGATATATTCCAGTATGCACGTGGAGAACTTCGTACACACTCGCCACGCTCAAGCGCTCTCGCTTGACTGTGCTCTGTCCCAACCATATCCTTCCCCCGCCTCCCCCTTCCTTGGCGTCGGTTCGTCAAAACAACACCTGCACGACTCTGTCTTTTTCTCCCTCTCTCTCGCTCACTCTCTCTCTCTTTCTCTCTCTCTCCCTCTCTCTCTCTCTCTCTCTCTCTCTCTCTCTCTCTCTCTCTCTCTCTCTCTCTCTCTCTCTCTCTACCTACCTACTCCCTTCTCTCTCTCCCTTTCATCTCAAGCCGCCACGTGTTCGCCGCGCGCCGCGTCGCCTACTAGCTGATAAGATGTCTTATCAGTATCCCTTCCCCTTTTATCTCTAACGCCTGTCCCGAGCCGCCGCGCTAGCTCGGGGCGTCTGCATCGTTCCCTTACCGCTGACAAGACACCTTATCAATGAGTAGGACATAAGTATTACGCCATCAATACCTATAAAAAACAATATTTTGGTGGGTTTCAGCTTAGCAAGGAAGACTATAAGATATTGCATATCTAGTAGGTAAGCGAGGTTTGAACTAGCATGCACCACCTGAACGACGAGGTCTCACTGCGGGAGCTGGCCCGTGCCTGTACGGGCACTGGGGAAGGCCGGCATTGGTCAGAGACACGTCACACCGTTATACAAGTAATTCACCGTTTTTTTTTTTTTTTAATAGGCCCGTAACAATATTAGCTGTTTTCACGAGGGCCATCTGGTACACGTTTGGTGCATATTTGGTGCAGATTAGGTGCAGATTTGGTCAAATTAGGTTCCGTGTGTCTCTTAGTAGCTATTTGCTAGGGCTGCACTAATTGCTTATGCCCCTGCTTTGTCATATTATCAGAGAGTATCGTCGATTAAAGCGCTGAATTAAATTCATAAAATAAAGATATTTGCTGTAAAAGAGATTAGGTGCAGATTTGGTCACATTAGGTGCACTCGCCGGATAGCCCGTCGTGAAAACGGCTAACGTCACACAAATGCGGCACGAGTGCCAATACGGATACGGTCGATTACACGCCTTTACACGCTTTACACGTCAATTACACGCTTTTCGTTCTTAAAATAAAAAGTCGCAGTGCATGCATCCAGCATTCAAGGGTAAAATATTTTTACCCCGACCGCCTCAGGCGCTTACGTGCTGTCACCCACCTGGCCGCAGCTGCCTCTCCGTTCTTAAATGTGTCTTGCGGTGCAGTATCACCCCTGGTACGGACGGGTAGTGTCATCTGGGGAGCGAGGTTAGTACTAGCATTCGCCACCTCAGCGACGAGGTGTCACTGCGGGCGGTGGCTCGTGCCTATACGGGCGCTGGGAAAGGCTGGCATGGGGCACGGACACGTCCTAACGTAACATAAGTAAGTCACTGTCGCCGACAAACTGTCGCTCGGAGTTCTTTTCTGGTTGAATGTGGACTGTATTTTATTCGGTGAGTTTGTGCGACATTCGTAGCCCGCCCGCCTGCTATGTGAGCTCCTGGGTTTTTGATATTCGGCGATTTACAGTTGTAGATAGACGTGAAGATTTCCCGTAGAGGATTTATTGAAGCATACGCGAAGCAAGAAGCGGAAGCAGTTGTGAAGAAAACCGGTAGATGAAACACGCAGACACGGAGCACCATTCACATTCACTGTACAAATCTGAAGCACTGACACTGCCCCGCCGGGCGCGGCTGCGCGCAGGAGAGTCGGTCTGCGCGCGTGCTTCTGTACTCTGTCCCCGCTCAGCCGGGCGAGGCGTCGAGCGGGGCGGATCAGTCCGTGCGCACAGCGCGACGGTCGAAGTGAGACTCTGCCGGGGTCGTACGTGACCCACATTTTATACGCAATGCTTAAGACGTGTGCAAAACGAGTGCAAACTTGCACTGCAGCGGGGAGGTGGCTGAAGGCGCCAGCTTGGCGGCCTACGTGCCTTAAAACGACGTGTCTTTAATTTATATCTCGGTCTCGGTGGCGGCCGCGGCGCTGCTGCGTCTCGGCAGCGTCGGCGGCACGCGTACCGACCGCCGGCCGCGTGTGCTCGCGGCCCCGCCCTGCACAATGCCTCACAACTCATCCTGAGTCTGGACGGGGTGACGGCGGTGCGGCGGCGGGACGGCTGCAGCGAGCGGCGGCGGCGCCGCGGTGTCACGGCGGCCGGCCGGCTATCACGGCGGCACAGCGGTAGCGCGGGTTGATCCGAACACTTTCGTCGGTGACATCACTCCACCCCCGTGTTTGACCACAGGGAGAACACAAAATGACACGATCACCGACAAAGACGTTCAAACAAGCACGATTTACACGCCTAAATCGAATAAACTACAAAGCACAAACGGCCACATGCGCGAGTTATGAAGTTCAGGTTCAGGCAATGCAAAATACAGATGAAGAGTGAGTGCGTCGTAGGCACGTACGCGCACAACAGTCTTTCTTACTTCAGCTCGTTCGGGGGCGTGGGCTCGACAGTCCACAGCCAGCCAGCATCATTTCTTGTTTGCGTTCGGTCGGCTAATGAGATGGCTGAGGAGGCGACGGGGCAAGTTCCAGAAGCGCCACCTTCGTGGCAGGCCGGGTATACGTACCACCTGCTGCCGTCTTGAGCTGAACGGCGCGGACTCGGCCGTCAGGCCCCGGGAACACTTGCAGCACGCGCGCCAGCGGCCAGTGACCTCGGGGCGTGTCAGATTCTGCTAGCAGCACCACGTCGCCGACTGCTAGGTTCCGTTGATCAGCTTGCCATTTTCTCCTGTGGATCAGGGTATGGAGGTACTCCCTTTTCCATCTTCGCCAGAGATGGTCCGTCAAAGCTTGAACGTACCTCCATCTTTTTTTGGAGTGCAGATCCTGGCTGCTGAAGACTCCAGGGGGAAGACAACGGCTTCCCCTCCCCAAGAGATAATGGTTCGGTGTGAGAGCTGTCAGGTCTCTCACATCGTCTGTGACGTGTGTCAGCGGTCTGCTGTTGATCATGCTCTCTATTTCGCAGAAGACAGTTGACAGCACCTCGTCTGTTGTCACCTCGCCGCCGAGCACGACCGATAGCGCTCTCTTGACTGCGCCGATCATTCTTTCCCATATGCCGCCCATGTGGCTCGCGGCTGGTGGGTTGAAACACCATTCGATCTGCTGCTGGCTCAGCTCGTCAGAGATCTTCTGCTGGTTCCACTGTGTCAGTGCCTCTCGGAGTTCACGTTCACCGCCTTTCAGGTTTGTTCCGTTGTCGGAGAAAACCTTCTTTGGACGACCTCGGCGTGTCACGAACCGTCGGAAGGCCATCAGGAAGCTGTCAGTATCCAGGCTGTTGGACACTTCCAGATGAATGGCTCGCGTGGCCAGACACGTCACCAGCAGGCCGTACCTTTTTTCCGTCTTGCGGAACCGCCTGACTGTGAGCGGCCCGAAATAGTCGATCCCCACGAAGCTGAACGGATGGGAGGTGTTAAACCGGTCAGCGGGAAGATCGGCCATTCTTGGAGGCTGAGGTCTCGCCCTTCTCTTGCGACAGATGGCGCAGTCGATAAGGACTCGTTTTACCTGCGAACGACCCCTCGGAATCCAGAATTTCTGGCGAACTTCGTTCAGGGTGTGTTCTGCGCCGGCGTGCATGAGCTGACGGTGCGTTTCGTAGATGACCATCCTCGCCACATCAGAACCTGCTGGGAGTAGAATTGGATGGCGAGCGTCTTCGTCCAGTGGGGCATTCTCTAGTCGCCCCCCGACTCGTAAGATGCCATCAGCGTCCAGGATTGGTGACAGGTCGGCGATGCCGCTCTTCTTGTTGAGCTGCTGACCCGCCTGTAACTGGTGCAGCTCGGTCCTGTAGGCCTCCGCCTGCACCATCTGGAGGATGGTCTTCTCCGCGTCATGGAGCTCTGACACGGTCAGTGGGCCTAGGTTTCGCTGTCGCTTCTGCTCGCCTTTCAGCTTCGAGTTGCGGAGGAAGCGCAGGATCCAGGCCACCGTGCGCTTGTATTTTGTCCAAGACGAGAATTTGCTCCGTGTCGGCAGTGCTGCCTTTGGATCCCTCACCGTGACTGTGGCGAAGGCTCCAACTTTCACTTCTACGTCTTCTTCAGCCAGCTTCTGAACGTGAAGCTGCTCTGGCCACCCTTCTTCGTCGCCTCGGAGGAAGTCTGGGCCGGATAGCCAGAGAGGGTTGTCGGCGAGCTCCTTCACTGTCTCACCCCTGGAGCACAGATCGGCTGGGTTGAGTCGTCCTGGGCAGTGACGCCACTGACCTTTGTCTGACAGGTCGTGGATTTCTGCCACTCTGTTTGAGACGAATGTATGGAATCGTCTGCTCTCGTTGCTGATGTACTGCAGGACGACCCGGCTGTCGCTCCAGTAGGTGACCTTCTTGACTTGATCTGGTATCTCCTTTTGGAGCGCGTCCACCAAGCGCACTGCGAGCACTGCTGCCTGCAGCTCCAGTCTGACGATCGACAGTCTCTTCAGCGGTGCAACTCGTGTCTTGCTCATGATGAACGAGCAGTGATGCGTGCTGTCTGGTGAGGTCGTACGGAGATAAGCGACTGCTCCGAACGCTCCCTCTGATGCGTCGCAGAAGACATGAAGCTCACGCGCTATTGTGTCACTTGATGTTGGACGGAGGCAGCGTGGGACACTGATGTTTCTCAGTGCTGGCAGTTCTTGGAGCCATTCTTCCCATTCTTTCTGCTCCTCACGATCCAGCTCGTCGTCCCAGTCCAGTTGCTTGGTCCAGAGCTGCTGCATGAACATTTTGGCTCTGATGACGAAGGGCGCGGCGATCCCCAGAGGATCGAAGATCGACGCAGTCCTTTGGAGGACTCCCCGCTTTGTCATCGGGACGCTTGAGTCTCGGAATCTGAAGCTCAGACTGTCCTTTTCAGCATCCCAGACCACTCCCAAGGCACCTTGTGTGGGCAGTTCCGCTTCTGTGAGGTCTAGTTCCGGCTGGGCGCGCTTCTCTCGGGGAATGCTCTCCAGGACGTGCCGCGAGTTGCTTACCCACTTGGATAGATGGAAGCCGCCTCGGGAGAGTGTCTCTGTCACCTGCTTCGTCGTCTTCAATGCATCATCTTCATGTTCTTCTGATCGTAAGAAGTCGTCCATGTAGAAGCTGTTCTTCACAGTTTCCACGGCCTTCTTTGGCAGCCCGCAGTCTTCTCCATGGTCCGCGACTGTTCTTTGGAGGACGTAGTTGGCAGACGCTGGAGACGATTTGGCGCCGAAGATGGTCACCTGCATCTCATAGATGTCTGGTTCTCTAGTTTGATCCAGGTCGCGCCACAGGAAGCTGAGCGCAGGTCGGTCCTTCTCGATGACACGGACCTGGTGGTACATTTCTTGGATGTCTGCCACCATGCCGACTTTTTCTTCTCGGAAACGGAGCAGGACGCCGGTGAGGTTCTTCAGCAGGTCTGGTCCGGTCAGGAGCTTGTCATTCAGCGATGTTCCGTATGATCTGGCTGCCGCATCGAAGACTATCCTGAAGCGGCCTGGCTTATTGGGATTAGTCACGGCATGGTGTGGTAGGAACCAGCGTCTGGGTAGCCGGAGCTGTGCCTCCTCCCTGGACAGCTTTCTGGCGTGGCCCTTTTTTACATATGCATCGATCGTGGCCTGGTAAGCTGCTGCTTTCTCTTGATCGTTTACCAGACGCCTCTCGGTGCCGTGTAGTCTCTTTGTAGCCATCACCTTGCTGTCTGGAAACGGCGCGTCGTCGTCGGTCTTCCAGAGGAGGCCAGTCTCGTAGCGGTTGCCGGTTAACTTGGTGGTTGTTGACTCTAGAAGCTCTTGCGCTCGACGGTCTTCTTTCGACTGTGACACTGACCTTTCATACTTGGCTCCGAAGGATTCAGTTGTCCACCAGTCCTTCAGCATGTTGTCCAGTTCCTCGTCAGCAGCGGAGCCTTTCTGGATGAACATCGCTCTTCTAGTTCGTCCAGGTTTTCCAGGGTGCAGGTCGGACACAGCGCCAGTCAGGGTCCAACCAAAAGCAGTACGTACAGCTATCGGTTGGCCTGGTTGACCCACCCGGACCTCTTGCTGGATGACTGCTTCGCTGACGTTAGCTCCGAGCAACAGTTCCACCTGTCCATGGGAGCACTGAGGAATGTCTAAGTCCTTGATGTGACGCCACTTCTCCCGCTGCTTCTTGCAGACGTTCGGCATGGAGATGTCGAGAGATGGAACAGACCACGCCTCAGGCACGATGATTCTTCGAGTTTCCCCAGGGGCCACAGAGCTCAGCTCTAGCTTCACTCTAGTTGATGCTTGAGGTTTTCCAGTTCCTTCCACTGTCTGAAGACACAGCTGTTCGTCTTGTCCTGTGATTCCCAGTTGGTTCAGCACAGCTTCACTGCAGAAGGAAGATTCTGACCCTGAATCGAGAAGAGCATAGGTGTCACGGTGAGTTCCTGCCTTCTTTCCATGAATTCGAACTGGAACGATTTGTAGAAGAGTTTCGCCTGTCTTTCCGATGGAGGTAGATGCAGCCACTACATGTACCTCTTCTCCTTCTGCCGTTGGACTTCTTTCATTGGCAGGCCGACTGGCTGCGGCTCTCGTGTGGTCGGTGGGAGGAGCGGTTCGTTTGGTGCTGCCATGTATCAGCTGATTATGGCGTCTCTGGCACCCATTTACACCACAGGGCCTGGTGTTGTGACATTCTCTGGCGAGATGTCCCCTTTGCAGACACCAGAGGCAGAGTCTCTTGTCGAATATCAGTTCGACTCTTTTTTCGACGTCCAGATTCTTGAACTCACGGCACTGGTGCAGTCTGTGTTCGCCACCGCACTTCGGACATGACGCATTCCCACCTGGTTTCTGTGCCGTTGATGGAGAGGCTGGTGACGAAGTTGCGGTAGCATGCGCTGCTCGCTTGGTCGTCTGGTCTCTGGTTCTCCCCCGCCTGTCACTCGGCGTTTCAGCGGTTTGGCAGAGCGATGCAATTTGGACCTGCTTCAGCAGCCAAACGTCCAGGTCGATGAGTGATGGATGTCTTGGGTGGAGTTCGAGCACATGTTTACCCCATTCACGCCGTAGATATTCTGGAAGTTTGACCACCGTTCTTCGGAGATTCTCTGTGCTGTACAGGTCCGCCTCATATCCTTGGGCCTGCATGAGCGTGACCGCGCAGTGCAGGGCGGAATGGAAGTACTCTAACGATCGAACACTGTTCTTCTGAGGAGGTTCAGCCGAGAACACTTTCTCGAGATGTACCTTAATCACATCCGTGCTTCGGCCGAAACGATCTTGTAGAGTTTTGAGGGCTTGTTGGTAGAGGTTGCCGTCAAATAACATGCCAGCGATGGCTTCTTGCGCTTGTCCCATCACTGACGCTTGCAGATGAGCCATTCTTTTGGCGTCGCTGAGCGATGGCTGGTCGTGCACGAGCGCTCGGAACAGTCCGACCCAGCGCGGCCACTCAGACGGCTTGCCTGAGAAGGTCGGCAGCTGGAGACGGGGGATGCTCTTAGTGAACGCGGATGTCGTAGGAGCCGGACGTGGTGCAGCTGTCGGTCGCAGCTGATCTATCCATGACGTCTGGCTTGTGGACATACCGGGACTGGGCGCCATTCGTGGAGGTTCTAGTTGCGGAGGTTCTTCTCTTATTTCGGTTAGAGGTTCTAGAGGTTCTCTGGGCGTAATGGAGACTGGCTCGGAGAAACGAAGTTGTGATCTGGAGCAGTTCGGCCTTTGAGAAACGCTTTTCTCGGTGATTGGTTCTCCCAGATTTTCATCCACAAAATCGTCTCGCCTGTCTGCATTGAGCTCGTCTTCCATTTCTTCCCTCAGGTCCGCCTCCAGTCGGGCAGCTTCAGCTTCATCTCTGGCTTTCTGAAGGTCTCTCTCGTATTGCAGTTCTTGTTCTTGTTGCCTTATCCTTTGTTCTTGTTCGCGCAGCTCTTGTTCTCGTGTCCTTTCTCTCTCCAGCTGGCGCACGCGTAACTCCTTCAGTTTGGATGATATCCTGGCTTCAGCTGATGCATGAGAGGCCGCCGAGCTGCCACTAACCTGTGATCTTGCTCGGCGAGCGACGCTACGGGTCATGCGTGACACTGAGCGTCCCAAGCCGTCTTCAGGTTGCCCTCCTCCATCCTCGCTGAAGTCAGTCTGTCTCGTAGAGGTCAGCTGTAGTTCGTCTGTGGTGCTTGTCATGAAAGTCTCGATTTTCTCCTCGATTCTCTCTTTCTCCGTACGAACTTCGTTTAAGTACTGAGCCTCATTTTCTTTTTCTTCCTCACTCTGCGTGTATCCAGAGATACATTCGTGAACGACCATCAACGCTTGGAAAGCGCTGTCCATTTCTCTGCGGATATTTCCAAACTGGACGCGTGAAGCTCTATCTGTCACGAGAGCTTCAGCGCGCCGGAAAATCCTTGTGAGAGCCGCCCGATGACGACCTCTCACCTGTCTGAGGTGCCGCCACTCCCCGTTGGAGCATTGGCCTTCTCGTGGTTCCTCTTGGACTGTTGTCACTGCAGCTTGTCCTTGACCTGCAGCGGCTGGTTCAGCTGGTACTTCTTCCATGTCAGCGGTTTCTTCTTTGTCACTTTCACCCATTCGCTCTAGAGACGGGCTTGCTTCTCCACTTGCCATAGTTCAGGATCCGGCCCGGAGGACCAGCAAATGTCGCCGACAAACTGTCGCTCGGAGTTCTTTTCTGGTTGAATGTGGACTGTATTTTATTCGGTGAGTTTGTGCGACATTCGTAGCCCGCCCGCCTGCTATGTGAGCTCCTGGGTTTTTGATATTCGGCGATTTACAGTTGTAGATAGACGTGAAGATTTCCCGTAGAGGATTTATTGAAGTATACGCGAAGCAAGAAGCGGAAGCAGTTGTGAAGAAAACCGGTAGATGAAACACGCAGACACGGAGCACCATTCACATTCACTGTACAAATCTGAAGCACTGACACTGCCCCGCCGGGCGCGGCTGCGCGCAGGAGAGTCGGTCTGCGCGCGTGCTTCTGTACTCTGTCCCCGCTCAGCCGGGCGAGGCGTCGAGCGGGGCGGATCAGTCCGTGCGCACAGCGCGACGGTCGAAGTGAGACTCTGCCGGGGTCGTACGTGACCCACATTTTATACGCAATGCTTAAGACGTGTGCAAAACGAGTGCAAACTTGCACTGCAGCGGGGAGGTGGCTGAAGGCGCCAGCTTGGCGGCCTACGTGCCTTAAAACGACGTGTCTTTAATTTATATCTCGGTCTCGGTGGCGGCCGCGGCGCTGCTGCGTCTCGGCAGCGTCGGCGGCACGCGTACCGACCGCCGGCCGCGTGTGCTCGCGGCCCCGCCCTGCACAATGCCTCACAACTCATCCTGAGTCTGGACGGGGTGACGGCGGTGCGGCGGCGGGACGGCTGCAGCGAGCGGCGGCGGCGCCGCGGTGTCACGGCGGCCGGCCGGCTATCACGGCGGCACAGCGGTAGCGCGGGTTGATCCGAACACTTTCGTCGGTGACAGTCACAGTAATTGAAATAGGCCGGTGGCACTATTATCACACGAATGCAGCACGAACACGGATACGGCCGATTAGACGGCCGGCAGCCGCCGCCAATATTCTTCAAGATAAGGTTGGGGCTGCTGTCGCGTGGCTGTCAGTTGTTGTGCCAGGCGGTCGTGCTGACATGCCGGTGGGCGGTAGCGGTATTCCAGGATTCCATTATTTACCTAAATGCTTTGCTTTTAAAGGGGTTTAAATAATAGACGATTCCCGGCTTGTCTCGTGAGGTTGTTATCATAATCAGGAGACATTTTTACTAATCTTGTCGAGACCGTAGCATTTGAATGAAACAAATTCGGACGATCGTTCCCTAGTAGCACACAACATGGGACGTCTAAGGTGTATTTAGTGGAGTGCCCTTCATGGTCACATCTCGGTCGCCCTTATAATCCTCGCGAAAACATACCTTTACCGAAGAATAATCGGAAAACGGTACAGAAAGAGCGAGGAGCCTGTTTCCGAATATTCTCACGGAAACATTCCTTAGACGAAGAATAGTCGGAAAACGGTACAGAAAGGGCGAGGAACCTGTTTCCGAATATTCTCACGGAAACATACCTTTACCCAAGAGTAGTCGGAAAACGGTACAGAAAGGGCGAGGAACCTGTTTCAGAATATTCTTGGGTGAAAAATATCATTAGGTTTAGTTCTATTTTGGTGACACTCACTGACTTGCACAGCGGGGCAGTTTTTTTTTCTTATGCGGCGCCAGTGAATGCGCGGCAGACCAAGACGCGGCTCCCGCTGCCTCCATCCCCCTCGCTACCCACGCCGCGCGTGCCCTCGGACACTTACCGAAGGGAAGGCAATCAGCTGTTAGTTTCCATTCCAGATGGCCGTTCACGGGCACCGCACACTGCTGCGTGCGGTGTGTGCGGTGAGTCCAGCAGGCGTGGGGGTAGGGGATGGGTAGGCGGTTCTGACGTCACGGCTGCGTGCGGTGAACGGCTTCGACCGGCCACAGCGCACCGTGGGGACTTATGCTATCCTAGCACGACATAAGTGGCAAATACGAGTAATTTGATATCCACTTTTTTGTCATCCATTTCACGTAGAATTGCCCAGTGCATCCATACCCGACCTTAAATCCTTTCAAAAACGATTGCTTACACCTCAAAACACCTCTCAAAGTGTAGCATTGCGCCGACCAGCATCCTGCTTCCCGGATATAGCGAAAAAACACATGACAATGAAACGCCCGCTCACTCGTTTTCCTGAACAGCAGCTTAAAGTCGCGATATGTTTTCATTATCTGTGTTTAATGAGGAAGATGATGGTATACACGAAAATTTCCAAAAATCAACCAAAGGTATCATTTTCGAAGGAAATGCTAAAAATGTTAAAATGCTTTTGATTCCGGGAGTTGAATCAGCAAACTGTTACCCTACAAAGTTTGATACGCGGTGGTACGCGTGGAAAC